GGGGGGGGGGGGTGGGGGGGGGGGGGGGGGAGATCTAATTCTCTTAGGGCACGCACACACAAAAATTTTCTTGGGATGCACACCTTTCTGCACACTATCCTGTAAGTACAAGCATTATAGTTTAATGCTTTAGGTGGTGGAGTTTTTGTGAATATTGTCTTTGAGTTTATTTTAAATAAACTGAGCTTTAAAGTCTCTACCAAAAAAACCCAAAAGTAAACCCAGAAGAGCACTTCTTACGGAGGATGAAGCCAAACCCTAATTAAGCCGATATCTTACAGTAAATCTTTTACAGCAAATCAGATCATGTGGTATCAGGTTAAAGAGAAACCAAGGTTCAGATTTCAGCGTGTGTGCTTTTCAACCGTGTGTAACTAAATGCTGTCCATAGAAGAGTAATTCTTGATGTCCTCACAACTAGAATATGGGGGTGGATATGAAAAATTATAAAGCCAGTTTGCTACAACCATTAAATGGATGTGTTTTAGTTATCTAGAAATGGTACTTCTGACCTTGCTTGTTTTCAGGGAATTGGAAATGGTTTTGTTATTTGGAGTCTATTTGACATGTTGGGTTTTCCATGTGAAAATTTTCCGGAGGGCTGAAGTCTCTGTAAGTCTTCAGTTACTAACACACTACAAAGCAAGTTTTTAAAAGATATTCTGGTGCTTATATTTGGTTCCTGTGTTTCAGCAACCATCAACCCAACACCACCATGCCCACCAAACCGTGTCCTGAAGTGCCACATCTACAGGTTTTTTGAACACCTCTAGTGGTGGTGACTCCACCACCTCCCTGGGCAGCCTGTTCCAATGCTTGACCACTCTTTCAGTAAAGAAATTCTTCCTAATATCGAGTCTAAACCTCCCCTGGTGCAACTTGAGGCCATTTCCCCTCATCCTATCGCTGGTTACTTGGGAGAAGAGACCAGCGCCCACGTTGCCACAACCCCCTTTCAGGTAGTTGTAGAGAGCGATAAGGTCTCCCCTCAGCCTCCTCTTCTCCAGACTGAACCACCCCAGTTCCCTCAGCTGCTCCTCATAAGACTTGTGCTCCAGACCCCTCACCAGCTTCGTTGCCCTTCTCTGGACACGCTCCAGCACCTCAGTGCCCTTCTTGTAGAGAGGAGCCCAAAACTGAACATCGACTTACTACCTGAAGACTGTCCTGTATCTCTGTTTCTTGCCATTTTTTCTGGTGTATGTCCTGGTTTTGAATACTTAGGTGTACAAGGCCCTTCTTTCGTTTTATGTGCTGTCACATCTTCATGAGTTGGGAAGCGTCTCAGCCTTCCGTTGCTGATTAGCATTTGTAAGGGATGGAAGCAATCTGTGTGATGAGCATCAGCTTAGGACACATGGCATGTATTTACAGAAGCCCTTCTTGTGGCAGCCTTCTTCATAACTGGAAGGGACAGGGGAGAAGGAGAGCTTAGTAAGACCTCTGCTTGCTTGCTGTGTTTCTAGGGAAGCTACCCAAACCAGCCTTAGTTCAGAGGTGGAGGAAGGCAGCAAGACTTCATAGTTGGAGTAGACAGAAGATACTTTGCCACTTCTACACGTATTAAATCTGGAAATTTCATACAGAATTGATAACAGTAACTCACAGCTCAGTTGTCTTTGCATGATTTACTGTCAAAACTAATTCAAGTACAACCAGTGATCGAGTTATGCTGTAACTAATGATGATGTTATTATTTCAGTTTTAGCAATTTCTTCACAGAAAAGACAGGCTGTTTAGCTGTGAAACTTTACTTCTCATTCATGTTTCTTGACTCCATTGTAAGCTACTTGTGTTTAATTATTTTTGGTGTTTGTTTTTGCCTCTTGAAACCAGAATATTGTCAAGTCCTTAGCTTCATGACAGGCTGACTTCACCAGTGAAGCTGGCTTAAATAATTTTTGCTTCCTAACTCCAAGTCGCTGTCACCAATATTAACAGAGTCAAATGAAAAACGCCATTGAGCTAACTCTACCATCTCCTCTCCCTTTTGGAAGATCATTCTTCACCCAGATCTCCGAAGTGATCCTGTCCCCAACCGCTGACGTGGGCTGCAGTAGTGGGTGATGAACTGAGCTGTGGGGGCAAGAGTAGGTTGTTAGGGTCAGTAATTCTGTAAGCAGGCTTCCCTGTCAAAGCCAGCATCCTGTGAAAACACGCGCTCCTGAGTTGTCGCTCTACATTAACATCTGTAGCTATCTCCAGTGCTGTTGGGTGCAATGCAGTGATTCATTACCTAACCAGAAGAAGATGACGACGATTTGGACAGGAGAGCTTTTCTTCAAAAACATTTTCAGCAATGCAAAGACAGTAACTTAATAGCTGAATAACCAAGAAAATGTTTGCTTTCCTCCTGAGGAAGCATGCAGTCAAACAATTAATCTGAAGTGAATACTCCTGTTTTCTTGCTGAGACTTTTGAAATAATTATTGAAATTATTTGTTCGTGAAAACCAGGTCTAGAAACCAACATACGAGGAGTTTTGCTGAAATTGGCCAAAGAAATTTTGTTGGTACCTTGTGTATGAGTGGAGAAAATGGCAAGAGACTGCTTATTACTGGGTTTTATTAACATTGCGGTGGAGAGTAGCCACAGTTGAGTCAAAGGTTAGGTCTTTGCTACCTTTTCTTAAAAATAGATCCATGAGCTGAGACAAAGGGACGTCATCTTCTATGCACTACTAATCTTAAAGTCAACTGTGGGCTGTGTTGACCCTTGATGACAATTTAGATAAATATAGTCTAAAATAAATGTCACCCATATGTAACCTGTTTTGGAATAGGTTGGCTCACAGGTTTTAATTAACACCATCTTAGCAAGCATCCGTATCTGTATAGACAGGACAAGTGATATTTAAACAAATTCTGCTGTCAGTTAAGGAACATCCAGCAAAGATGGAAAGGATCTCTTTCATGTTTGAGTCTTGGTGCATGCAGCACTGTCTGATGTGTGTTAGGAAACAGCACTTCCTAAAGAATTTTACATACCAGGAATTAAGACAGAAAGTCTAAAAGGACGGGTACAGTTGTTGCTCTTGTAACAGAGAGCCTCAACACCAGATCTGAAATGTTGACTCCCTGAGTCGGGGCCAAAGGACCATTCGTCAGCTTTATGGCCCGGGGTGCATATGGGATTTGCTGCATAACTTAAGACACAGGTCCCTGAAATGTGGAGTCCTACGTGCTCAACGTGAGCTGTGGGTGAGGACTTGCAAACAAGGAGGGGTGGGGAGGGTGTGTGCAGTCAAAATGCAAACAGTTCTGGCATACTGAATTTTTATTTCCCGCTCAGTCACTGGCTGGTCTAGATTACTCAAAGTAAATGTTTCTCACATAATAAGATCAAAAATATGCTGAGGTCACCAGCCTATGGTTATGGCTTCCTCACTGAATTTCAGTCTGTGCTGCTCTGAAGAGCAGATCCTATTTATATACATCATAACTCCAGCTAAAAATTAAATTAAAAAATCCCAGACACAAAAAGATATTCCAAGCAGAAGTAAAAGCGGATGATCTGATTTCCCTGACAACTTTTGCATCCTTACTGACGGAGAGCCCACTGTTTCAGCATGTACGTAACTCTCTGCATCACTTCCTGTCAATACTGTTCTTTCTGCAGAGTTTGTAGCCATGGAAGGGACCTTCCTGCCTCTTGTACTTTTTATTTTCCATGACTGGGGAGATGTATTGTTGCTGTGAGGTAGAAAAGCTGAACTTGGTCATCACACCCTTAAGGATAGCTGTCCCTGGGTTTTGGGTGGTGTTTTAGATGCCTCTGGCCCTGCTTAAGACTTCGATGCATCTGAAGATACTGGTGGAGATTTGAGGTGTTTTATTGTGGTCATTACGTGGCTCAGCTCAGTCAGCTGAGGTCTGAAGTCTCCCAATAACCTCTAATTTTGTCACACGGAAAAATTAATCTTCTGTTTGTCTTCTGGTGCTTATTGGGATTTCCTGTATGTTTTTAGTAACGTACTGTGTACAGTATCGACGTTACGTATTTCGATCCTCCTGCATCCCAGTGCGTAGAACGCCCTGTAACACCGATTAGGAGTGTGTTTGCATTCTAATCGGAAAATGGGCGGTACGTGTGCTGCCTTGCCTACAGCTGCAGTGTGCTTTTGAACTCAGGTGCACGTAGCGTTTGCTTTTTCTGGATTCAGGCTTACTGAGTGACGTTACTCATCACAACGTACTCTCCTATTTGCTCATATTGTGAGTGTTATATTTTCTAGTAAAACTCACAAAAGAACTTGTGGTGTACTTGTTAGCTAAAATAACAGACATAATTATTGTAGTAATAATTCTGTTAACGGTTCAAAGTAATGTGGATTGCATTTTTTAAAAAGGTAGTAGTGATTTCAGCTGACATCTACTCTCTTGTGAATACAAGAATCATTTCTGATGTGATATGTATGGATTTAGTTACTTAAGGTGATTGTGACACTTTCACGTGCCCACTGGAATAAACTGTAGCTCTGTTAAGTTTCTGAGGTGGTTTAATAATGTATTGTTTCAATTTTCTGTATTTCAGCTCCTGGTGTGTGATAATACTTCAAGTGAGTTTACTTTTCCTTTCAAAAGCAATGCAGAAAATACCCTTTCTTTTTCTTTTTTACAGCTGGCACTCTATGTGCTGTCATTCCTGGAACCCAGGGACCTTCTGCAGGCAGCCCAGACATGTCGTTACTGGAGAATTCTGGCTGAAGATAATCTTCTCTGGAGAGAGAAATGCAAAGAGGAGGGTAAGGCTGAGCAAAAAGACGGATGTAATGGTCAAAGCGTTGCTGTCGTGAAAAGTGCAGTTCATTTACCTAATAAGCTTACAGTTCTACAGAGGCAATTCGGGTGACTTTAAATTTACTGCTAGGGATGCTTTGAGCTACGTGGTGTGTATCTCTGTTGAAAGCAAGAAGCAAAAATAATCCATGGAGTACCAGAAATGAAACTAGAGTTAAGTTTGAACATCCTATTTCTAAAGTATACTAGGTGTATATTTTTAAAATAAATACAATTATTTTTGCTTTTTAAGGATTATTTTTATTCAAAATACAACCAAAGGAAGTGAGAGCTGAGAAGTAAAAATGATAGGAGTATAGTCTTGCAGCTTGGAAATAAGATGGAGGAAAAGCCCTTTCAGTGGTTGGGTAGAAGGGATGCTGTAATTTCACGTCATTTGTAGGAAAATTGAGAGAAAAATGGCCCATGGCAGGGGGAGAAGGTGCTAACTCAATTGCTTAGAGGCAGACACACGTAAGTCCCATGGGTATTGTCTGCTCGTGCCAAATCAGAGATGGTGGTTCAGCACTAATACGGACAGGCAGTAAAAGGCTCCCAGGAAAGTAGCTGCATACTTGAGCACATGAAGAATGTAAGCTTTTTATTTTTAGGGAGAATTCTATGAACAAGGAGTCTGTTCTGGGGTGCAGAGCAAACGCATGTGATCTCAGAGCACGTATTCCTCTTAGACACGGGCAAGCACGGGGACCTGGCCAGAGTGTGGAGGCAAGAACTTGTGAGAGGTCAATGCAAAGACTTTAAAAAAAACATGACAGTGCGAATGTAGCTGGCTATTTGTAAAGGTACCTAAATTAATTAGTTTTCTTCTGCAATTGAAACCTCTTAAATTTTCTCTAAGACTTAAGATTCAACCTCTTACAAATTTCAGTGAAGATGCATTAGGAGGCCAGAATGAGAAAAAAGGAGAAGGTTCAGAGGGGAACGTGCCTACATTTGTGAGCTTAGAAGTAAAAATAATGGTGGCCAGGCACGGGAGCACATACAAACAAAACAGCATTGGTCTGACAGTACTGGTTAGATGTAGTGAGGTGCTCGGTAATGGGAAGGAGCAGTTAATTCAAGACTTGCAGACAGAGACACCAGAGAAGGGGCTAAAAGTAGAAGAGTGAAATCCACATACTGGCAAGAGACAAGACTCTTGCTAGTAATGAGATGCGGTGGAGAGGGGAGCTGTACAGAAAAGAGAGATGGGTGAGAGAACTGTAAAAAAAGGATGTATCTGTAGTAGCAAGGCTAAACCAATGCACTGCTGCTTTAAGTGTCAGTTCCATAAAGGGCGTACCTCTACTTCAGTTCCAGCCAGGAGAGGTCAATGCCAAAAGCACACAACCCTTTGGCTCAAGAAAAGGAAGTAAGAGCTCACCAGTATCTAGAGTCATAGAGAACTTACTTAAAGGTAATGAAGTGGGTTACCGGAGAGGAAGACCAAAGACAGACAGATTTACTTTTTGAAGGGTTCCAAAATGAGTGCCCGAGTGGTTCTGGAGGTCATTGGACAATACCCGTCTGAAAAAGGCAGTATTCTGCTCTGTTGCCTCAGAAAGGGGGATTCAGAACCAAGCTAGTAAGTAGGTTGCCAGGAAGGAATGATGAACTAGAGCACTTTCAGCCATGACGACAGTAATGATTATGCTTAAAAGATGAGGAAAGATGTAATGTGAAGAGCTGAGGAGCAAGGCAGTGTCACTGACACCCGGTGCAAATACTGGCAGGCGGGAGGTTGCTACGTCAATGCAGTATTTAAGGACTGCGGTCACTGTACAGAGTTGGGAGGGAGACAAGTTGTTTGCTTTGGAGTGGCCTCATCTCCTCCCCTTCCCGCTTTTTAAAATTCATTTCAGGGATTGATGAACCGTTACATATCAAGAGGAGGAAAGTAATAAAACCAGGCTTTATACACAGTCCGTGGAAAAGCGCCTACATTAGACAACACAGGATTGATACCAACTGGCGGCGAGGAGAGCTCAGATCGCCTAAGGTAAGCTTCTGAGCTATGCGCACGGTGCCGTCAACAAAGCAGGATCAACTCGTAGGTTTTTTTTTCCTTTGGACAAGCCAGTGCACAAAAAGCAATGTGTTGTTACAGCCAAAAATTTGTATTTTAGCTTACCCTGGGTTTAAATTAATGCCTGAGCCCCGTATTAGCAAATCAAAATGTGAATCTTCATACAGCAGAATTCTTGCACTGCTGTTCTAAAAATTTCTGTACAGTCTGGTGAATCCCTAGGTATATGCCAGTGTCTTTGAGACAGACAATATCAGAAACTTCATTGGCGATACTGATATTTAAAATTAAACATACACACACATATGTAAAATATATATATATAAACATATATATATTTGTAGAGCTGGGCCATGTCGCAACATAAAAATGCTCCACATTCTGTGATCACTTCGTGCTTTATTTTTACACAGATTCTTATAAATTGAGCAGTATGAGACAGTAACTTCATTCTGTGTTAAGATTCTTTTGTTTTTTAAAGTATTGAAGTGTTTCAGTGACACTGATATATTATCATTACACCTTTTCCAATACAAAGATATGAGGCAATACTTCGAACCTTTTGTAAAATAAAGTAGCGGCTCTCTAATCAAACCTGGTATTGAGCGAGCAGTCGGAAACAGGAAAAAACCCATATTAAATAATATCCTTTTAACGTTTTAAGGCAATTTGCCTGTTTTGTAGATTACTGTATAACAAAATAACAAAAATAAGAACAAAAAAATTCCCGTGGAAAACCTATGGCTATATCCTGCTGTTTCTTTGGCCGTGACTTATGTACATCTCTGGCAACAGCTCTCTATTTCTTGCCTTGATGCACCACATCAAGTTATCTTGGAATTATTATTAAAATTACAGCCTCAGGCATTATCCAAACGCCCATTTCATTTCGATGAACATCTTGAAAACTGTTCAAGATTTCTTGAATAAAAAATGCCTCATTCTATGTATTCTGATAAGGATTTTTTTGCTGTATTGCAGTAAAATACACTGAATTGCAGTTTTTCCCAAATCAAGCAACATTGCAATCCACATTTCCAGCACATTAAATTATCGCTTTTGTTTGTATTTAATTGAGTTAATGGTTTTCTAGTTTTTCACTTTGGTGCTGCCTGGCATTTAATAGATTACAATGCTTGGCTGGCAAGGGGAACAAAAAAGATACATAGTTAGCCTTGACCACCGAAATACAAATATGCAGCCACTAATACAACCCCATCGTTTTTGTTCAAGATTGAAATAACTCTTAAAAAGTAGAAGTCTGGGGAAAAAAAAAACAGAACTAAAAAATAGATGGAATAACTGGAGAGGAATTGAGCAATGTCCAGTTACTCATTCAGCCTACTTGTATTAGTGATTTTTCCTGGTGCTTTTAGGAGGCTTACAATAACTGTAGCGTGCTGGCTAAGCGATGCAGTATCACTCCATGGAAGAAGGAAAATACCTTCTTTGGTCCCAGCTGGCAGTAAATTGGACTTGACACATGGGATTAAGGGGCCTTGTTATTACTGAAGCAACTCTAGCATTTTATAATTTATGAATCAGAAGAGCACTTTGTTTCTCCTGCTTCTCTCTAATCTCTTGCGTTAAATTGTGACCGTATGTTTTGATGTTCTTTATCGCCAGGTGCTCAAAGGCCATGATGACCACGTGATCACATGCCTTCAGTTCTGCGGGAACCGAATAGTGAGCGGCTCTGATGACAACACACTGAAAGTGTGGTCAGCGGTTACAGGCAAGGTGAGTCAGTTGGCTCTTTTTCTGAATCCCTTAGGAAGGGAGCTACAGGTAGAGCACTGGTATGTCCAAAATGCTGCCGTGCCATCAGACCGCGACGCAGGGTGGTCTTTAGTGCTGTCTGGTGCAAGAATCAGAAAAAATACAGGTAAACATTTGGGTCATCTTTTCCTACACAGAAACTAGTCTAGTTCAAAAAAGTCACCTTGGTGTGAAATTGCAATGCTCCTCATGTTAGCATCGGCATATATCCCTGTTCTCTTGGCAATTCTGTTCTTGTGGAGTCGTCTGTGACGTGGATTCTAAAGAATTTGGACAGATACATTCCTTAAATCTTAATTTAGCCTTCTTTTGCCCCTCTGGATCTCCCTTTCTCACTTGTCTTCTAGCATTCTTTCTGTTGTTTCTAAGGTATTGAAATGGGGTGTTCATTTTACCGGCTCTGATTTCAAATAGAGAGTTTGTTTTTCCTTCTAAGCTACTATATTGCTGAGCCAACAAAAAAAAACCCAAAACAGTAACTTGCTTTAGGTTTAAATATTTCCTGTTAAATTAGATCCAGCTCAGGCAGGAATTTAATAAGCTTCAATAATTTAATTTTGGCTTGGAGAAGCAAAACAATATGTGCAATCAAAAAGACAGTACTGAGCATTTCACTCACGTTAGAACATCACAGCTACTCAGCACACAGATTTTTTTTGTTTTGAGGTGACTGACTGACCATGCTCCAAGGATATAGAAAAGGCCTGAGGGAAACAGTACTTTCTCTCTCTAGTACTGTGTCTACTTAGCTTTGTTGTAATGATAGAGTTAGTTACATGAACAGCAGGAAAGTTACTGAGCGTAACACGCTTAAGATGTAAAAGGTATCCACTTTATAACATTGAAGCTGAATGTATTAAGCATTTGTCTTTGCATGCCCACAAGATCCTTGACGGGACTGTAAATACTACTGTGGGGAAGAATGAAATTAAAAGGGATAGGCAGCCTCGCCCTGCCTCTGCTGGCTTCCCTAACTGTCTAATGAAGGAACCCATATTGAAATTTACATTTTTTTAATTGAAAAGGGCAGCCTAAACTCAAATGAAAAATACATCCTTTGTACATACCACCCTCTCAAAAGCAAAATGTTCCTTTAAATGTATAAACCGGATCACAGTAGCATGACTTAACAATTCACGTTCAGTAATTTTTTTAAAGTAAAGTAATTACAAATCCTAGAGTGACTATTTACCCCAAACCTGTAACAGAGCCAAAAATTGTACATGAAAGGCGGGATAGTGCTGTATCAGCCCTCATGCTTACTGATGCCGAAGAATTAATAAAATCAAAAAACCCTAAAGGTTGGTTTGTGCAAATGAACACGACTAAATAATCCCCTTGACAGATGTAAAGCCCAAAATAAGGACTCTGTGTTCTTGCTGCTTTAGAAGGATGATTTCTTAAAATGTGAGCAAATCGGTTGAAATGAAAAAAGAAATGGGAACTGTAAAAGTGAAAAACGACTATGAACTGAAAAAGATGGGTTTGATAGCAGTGAATTACGCTAGGAGCTGAGAATTGCAGAAGGCTGGCAAAAAACTGTTGAAGAACAGGAAATCTATGTACAGTAAAAAAGCAAGGCGTTTTAAAGGATGTTAGAAAGAACAGGATATTAACAACAGCAATTATTAGTATACTATCACTGATGTAGAAAAATATTTATTTTGGGAGAAAATTCATGTAATGGAAAGATAGCATGCAGTGATAATAGAACAGTTAATTTCAGCAGAAACTAACCAGGATGTTAAGCAACAATTACCAAAGTTACAGTTTTTCTTTCTTAGAGTTGATCCAGCTAATCTGTATTTGAGGATTGTTTTTCTAAAGTAACCTGTGAGGTAAGATTGGTGTTTTTTTGAAAGGTATGAGCACAAAGAGAACATCCAAAGGATGGCTAGAAAGCTAAAATGCCTCAATATTTAAACGGAGTAAACTGAAAGACTGAGTATTTAGGATACATTATCTCAGATAAAAAATATTGGACTACATCAAGAGGAGTCAACTAACAGTTCAAGGAAGGCCACGGAAATTAATGCCACTTAGCATTAGATTACAGAAAAAGAGATCATCAAAGTGTCTTGACCTCTTTTCTCGTGCAGTTACAGGTTTGACAGATAATAGTGCAGAAATAGATGGCTATGTGCACTGCGAGCTGTATCCCCATGACACGACTGAAGAAAATAGAGCAACGCCAAAATCAACATGGCACATATTTAAATGGGTTAGAAAGTGGGTAATTACGGAGAGCGTGTTGTTAATGTAAATCAGAATCTTCATGGAGTATCTTTCTAGAGGGGTCTTGCAAGGATCTCTTCTTGTCTGTGCTAATTAGCACTTATTGCTGCCTGGTGAGAAGGCTTATAGAGTCAATGCTTGTTAATGAATACGGGCTGAGAGACGGAGACAAGCCATTGCTCCCGAGTGACAGAAGTTTTATAGAAGTAGGTGTGAGCAAACACTGTCTCTGCACGGTGAGAAACCATGTCCGGCACTTGGGATCAAAGAAGGTAGGCTGTGCCTGTGTAGTGTGGGATTCTCTCCAGGGCAACAGTAAAATCTGAAAAAGGTTTGAAACGTGACTTTACAGTATTGATGCTGTAGCTGCGGTGTACAGAATGCAATGTTTCTTGGATAAAGAAACAGAAAAGCAAAATAAGAGTATATGGTTTATAGATTCGTGGGAAAGCTACTAAGCGAATGCTCTCTCCAGTTCTAACACTTATGCTTTGGAACGCTATTGGAAAACCTGCAGTGACTCAGAAAAATGCCAGGAGAATGACTCAAGGCTGCAAAACATGCCCTGTATTGAGAAATTTGGAAAGACAGTTTAGTTTATCAAGGGGAAGATCATAGGGAAAATTCCTTCTAGTCAAAGTACTGACAATGGAGACAGAAATTTGATGAGTATTTTCTAAAAGGTGGGATTTTTTAGTTCGATCACAAAGCAGTCAGTCTCCAGCGGTCTTCCAGCTTTTGCTGTGAGAGACTATTGTTACCTCCTAGATTCCTTCTTCTTAAGCTTCCATTCACCTCCGTTAAAAGGATAACTAAGCAAAATATTTCTTTTCAGTGTTTGAGAACACTGGTTGGGCACACAGGCGGAGTCTGGTCATCGCAGATGAGGGACAATATCATCATCAGCGGATCTACAGACCGAACGTTGAAAGTCTGGAACGCCGAGACTGGAGAATGCATACACACCTTGTATGGCCACACCTCCACCGTGCGCTGCATGCATCTCCACGAGAAAAGGTAAGGCTTTGTCCAAAGCGGCAGCCATGGTTTGGCTTGTCATTTACGCTTGCGTTCACAGAAGATGCCTGTTAAACTTGGGTACCTCATCCAGCACTGAGTGAAATGCAAGCCAGGCGAAGCCTTCACACTCAAATCAACAAAAGGGAGGAGATGATTAATAGAAGCAAAAGCGTAAGAGTACTAATTAAAGAACAGAAAACTGAGTCATGTACTTTATAAAGTCACATTCTACGTTATTTCAAAACTAATTCGTTGTTACGCTGTGATCCAGTCTCCTACACTCTGAATAATTTCTCCTTTTTGTCAGTGCTACAAACTTTTACTCATTTTACAGAATGACTCTTTAAGTGTCATCACTGCAGTATCTTACTAAAATTTTAAACGATGATATCATAATTTCTACAATAGTAAACCATGTCTTGATTCAACAAACATTGGCAAAGCTCTTTTACTTGGCTGTGGTACGGAGCTGTTGACAGAGTGTCTGTTGGTCTCATTTCTTCTTTTTTGAAGAATGATGAGGTTTTTCTTTATCAATCCCATTAATATTAATTCCTTCTAATTTCTGTTCTTGCCTAAAGAAGCTTTTAAACGTATAAACTGAAAAAAAATCAAGCAGAATAAAAGTTAACTTACCAAAAGTAAAACTTGTAAAGATATTTTTTGTTTAATTGTTATAATTAGTCATCTCAGTCATTAAAACAGAATGCTCATAGCACTGGCTTGAGCTCAGCATATTCATAAGCTCTCATAGATAGATACAACAGTCCACATCATTTCTCCTGGCATCATTTTGCTGTTCAGGAGTGAAGTGCCTTTTTAAATACTGATTGCTAATGAGATCAGATAGACGGATCAGAGGAGGCGAGCAGAGCAAGGCAGACAAACAATCGAGTCATTTGCAACCCTAATAAAATGTCATGCCAAACCAGATCTTTGGTGGCTAGTGGACTAATGCTATCTAGTGTCCCAAATTAAAACTCCTAACTGATTTTTACCCAAGTCTAATTGTTTTAATACTTCTATGTCTGATGCTAAGTACAGGAGGGCTTTTCTTGTTCCTCCAGAGTGGTCAGTGGTTCTCGAGATGCTACACTGAGAGTTTGGGACATAGAGACGGGCCAGTGTTTACACGTTCTGATGGGCCACGTAGCAGCAGTTCGGTGCGTTCAGTATGATGGCAGAAGGGTTGTAAGTGGTGCATATGATTTTATGGTCAAAGTGTGGGATCCAGAGACAGAGACCTGTCTGCACACGCTGCAAGGGCATACTAACAGAGTCTACTCATTACAGGTATGTGATTTTCATCTGCTGCTTTAGTTTCCTTAAGTAACATTTAAAGTCAGTTTATTTCACCTTGTTTATTAAATTGTGGGTACCTACTCCAGAATTATACAAGCCACAAGAATATAGAAGCATCTGTGATAGCCCCCTCTTCCATTTTGTAACACTAATTAGATGTTGTCTTAATTTAGAGACTGAGATATTTTTAGAGGAGTTTTTTTTTAAAGCACCAGTACAATAAAGCTTAAATCTCTACACCAGCAAGCCAAGTACTTTTCTGGGTTGTTGGCTTGTTTGTTTGTTTGTTTAAATCTTGCATGTATTTTTGAGTTACGGTTTTGGTTTCCGCAGAGAAATTCTAATGTCACAATTTTAAATAAATCAGATGATACAGTAGTTGAAAATGCACACCCCACCCCCCACCTCCACCCCCCCATTGGATTAACGTTCTGAATTATGCCAATCTGTCTATCCTTATTTTGTAGTCTCATCTTCCAGCTCCAAACTGTAATTCACAGTAAGGCTGAACCTAACATTTTAATGTTCTGCTGTAAATCCCCAGCCTTCTACTTCCTCTTCTCTGAGTAGAGGCCAGATCTGCAACTGTGAGGCTTTGTCAACTGAGACATGTCACTGTAGGTGCAGAGTATTGTGGCACGGCTCTATTGCCCACCAGTCACCCGACTGCTCAGCAGAACTGCGCTGGCAAAGATACCCGTGGACCTCACGTAGGCTGCTCTTACCTTTACCAACCCAAAACATCATCTTGTTCATTCATAGAGTCAAAGCATCACTTCCAGGCATTGAAAGGCGAAAGAAATTAATTTCATGCTTGTGCCTGTTCTCGCTGCAGTCTGGCAGGACTTGAAAAAGAAATTAACAAAGACAGTTCAAAATCGGGAAATTGCATTCGGCATGTAACTACTCTGCTTTGTGGCTCAGAAAGTGAAGCTCAGTGCTAGAGACATTTTATCTTTCATAAGGTGCATCTTGCCATAATAGATAAAATATGAACAAAATACCTAATTGGTTTCCTTTCCCAAAATATGTAGTAAAATTTATTAAAAACCTCCAGCCCTTCTCTTACATTCATATGCTGAGGAGTATTCTCTAGACAAGCAGCAAACAAGTCAAAAAGGCTGTACTACCTACCTATCTCTTAAAAATATTCTGAAGGTTCCATTTCATCTAGGGCAGTTTGGGAACTGTATATGTTATTCTGCCTTATCTTCACCAGCGGCTCTTGTTTTGGCTTATGAATATTCATGTCTCACTCTGATACTGTAGTAATAATGGATCAAATAATTGGGTTATGTTACACGCTGATACTATTTACACCCTGTAAATGAAACTTGATGTTCTGAAATAAATTTCTGGGGGACAGGAGGCTGCAGGTGCTTACAGTTTGAGGACAGAAAGATTCTTTAAAATTGCATGGCAAGCTCCTGCCCTTTGGCCTGAAGCAGCCCCAAAAGGCAGCACTCCAGTAAGTAGAATAATCGGGCTGAATAATCAGCCTGTCCTCGTCATCCCCGCCCCATGGCAGGTTCTATTATACCTCAGTATTTCCCCATTTGTAGACCCCCTGACATTTTCCAGAGATCCTTATGCAGCAGTTGAAGACTAACTGACCCTGTTGTGTTTTCTTACTCTTCCTCAGCTGCCTTTGAAGTAATCCACAGATTCTCAGGGTTCATGGATAACAGCTCCACCACTGGTCCAAACCGTTACCTGTTTGACTGTACCAATATCAGTCAGAGTAAAGTTTGTCTTGATGCCCAGCCTGAAAGCTCTCTTCCTGAATAGCTTGTACATGAAATACAATTAATCTGGGTCAGGGGGAAAAAACTCAAAATTTGTTTCGTCAATCTGGTTTAGTTCTGTTTAGGAAGGAAAAAACACCCTGTAGTGTTTCCACCCAACAAGTCTGCAGGGCTACTTAGCACTCCTCATCCTTTTATCTGAACTCAAATTAACCTACATTCTCTTTTGAAAGCAGGGTGCCCAAAACAGGATGCAAAATTCCTGTCAAAAGTCTTATCAATGCTTACTAGAAGCGAAAAGTTACTTTCTATGTCTTATATAGCATACCCCTATTTTGGATACTAGAGTGTCTTTTATTCGTATATTTTCACCAGAAGTGCAATGCATACAGCAGATAATTGGTCTGTATGTGCCAGTCGCTCTCTCCATTCTTTTGAACCTAGGAGCCCTGCTCAACCACGTTTGACTGTAGAGATTGAAGACAGTTTTCTGCAGGTTTTAGAAAAAGACGTGGTCTCAGGTAGTTGAATTTCCTTAATTGGGTTCGTTCTTTGCCATGATTAGATACCAGACAAGTAGTGTTGGATTGCCCTAGCTCTAACAGAGACTCCTGCCCAGCCCTCATTCTCCCAGGCTGCAGCTGTACCGTCATTCCTTCCCTGCCAAGCTCAGGTCTTCGCAATTTTCTCTTGGCTTTTACACTCTTTGCTTTGGGTCAGTTCTGCCATTTCAAATGTCACCCAAATCCTAATGAAAATACTAAATGCCAGACCCACCCCCCAGAACTCTTTCTGCTATCTCTAATAATGCTGTGAACAAAGTTCTGAATGGGATAGTATCCCTGCCTCAAATTTGCCTCCCTCTTTGTGAAAATACAACCAAGACATCTGCTGTTTCACATGGCTTTTTACTCTGTCACAGAAAAAAAAACCATTTTGGTTAAGATCATTCCCCCACAAATCTATGTTTGCTGCTACTTCCTGCATTGCTACGGGCTTAGAACCAGATTGATTATCTGTTAGTTCCTTCTGGAAGTTGAAGTTAGGCTGACCAATCTATAATTCCCCATCTCCCATCATCATCTCCTTCAATAAAGAAAAGAATTGTATTTGCCATCTGAAACCTGTCTGTCTTCCATGGGTTCTCAAAGATAGCAGCAGATGTCTGTGAGATTGTCTTAAAACTACTTGCCTTATGTGGGTTTTTTTTCCCCATCCTAGCAAAGCTTGTGCTCAGTTGTCAGTGGTGTTAGTGCTGTGAGCCTACACTCAGATGGCTGAGGACTGAAGCAAAAAAAGTTCAATAGCTGGCCTCACTTGGTGTTTCCTTCCCACTGAGCACAAATGAGCTTTTTCATTTTGGCCTTCCTCTTGTTTGTTTTTTTTGTTGGTGTTTCGGTTTTGTTGGTTGTTCGTTTTTTTTTTTTTTTTTTACAGACTAGTGTTTTTATCATCCTTAACGGCTCTTGCTAGTTTTATCTTGTTTTGTGTCCTGCCTTTCTGATTTTGTCCCAGTGTGCTCTTTTAAACACGTCTATTGATCTAGTTTCTACTTTTTGTACAATTCCTTGTGCTCTAGCCAAGTGGGTCTTGGTAATTTACTACACTTCCTATCTTTCCTTCACACAAGGATAGTTTGTGTCTTTAAGAAAGTGCCAACTCTCCTGAACTCTTCTTCCCCTCAGAGAATAGATACATAAAAACCTCATGGGAAGGAAGTCTCAATTTATTGAAGTATTCCTCCTTGAAGCACCACTGGTTTTATTCTGTTGCTCTTTTCCCTTCCTTTTCTGAGAATTCTGGACTCTTAGGTCATTGTCACTATCACTGAAGTTACTTTCCACTTCTATATATTCTCCACATGTCCATGTTCCACATATTTTTGTTTTATATACAATACATGCCCAGAAAAATCCAAGAATTTGGACATCCATGTTAGCCTGTACATTCCTACAACAACTAGGAAGTTCAAGTTCCTTACTGCACACAATTATGATTATAAAATGGCTAAACCCAGCATTTTTCAATTACATGTCTTTCATTTTCCTATGTTTTGGCCTTTGTGTAGATGATTCCAGATTAACATTATTGCCCTTCTCCGGCTTAAAGTCCCTTTGACTTTTGAAAAGCAGGTTTGCCTTGTTAACATCGTTATTAGGAAGACTGTATTCTCGTGCTGTTACATGCTGCAGTGTAGTCAGGATTCTGTTGTGTTTAAAGGAGTTGTATTAGAGTTAAAAGACCAGCAGTTCAGAGTCCTGCTCCTCGAACCATGTGCCTCATAGCCCATGTCTACAACAGGAAATTATGCTGGCCATGCATCGCCCTGCTCTGGTATCAAACGTGGCCATCTCTACTTAGAACAAGTTCACAGAATGGTAGGGGTTGGAAGGGACCTCTGAAGATCATCTGGTCCGACCCCCCTGCCAAGGCAGGATCACCTGGGGCAGGTCGCACAGGAACGCGTCCAGTCGGGTTTTGAAGGTCTCCAGAGAAGGCGACTCCACAACCTCTCTGGGCAGCCTGTTCCAGCGCTCCGTCACCCTCACAGTAAAGAAGCTTTTCCTCATGTTGAGGTGGAACTTCCTGTGCTGCAGTTCTTACTCTGTAATGCAGTTTCTGAATATATATAATATCTAATGTTGCATTTGGTGAATTAAATGCTTAATAGCCTTCTTCGTAAGATCCTAATGTAATTGTTTGTAATAGATTTACCTTTCTTGTAGTTCGATGGCATCCATGTGGTGAGTGGATCTCTTGACACTTCCATCCGAGTTTGGGATGTGGAGACAGGCAACTGCATTCACACACTAACAGGCCACCAGTCTCTCACAAGTGGAATGGAACTTAAGGACAATATACTCGTGTCTATGCCGATTCTACAGTCAAAATCTGGGACATTAAAACAGGACAGTGTTTACAGACATTGCAAGGTGAGCTTAAACTACGTCTATGTAACTCAAGCCGCCTGCAGTAATCTGTGCTGCAGATTCTATATGAAAAAACCTTGAAAATAATTACATACAAAGAAACAAGCACGGACTGCTTAAAACTTAAATATTTTTCTGATGACAGATGTATGATCTTTCTCTGCATTATGAGAACAAAATGTTTTTAATCTAATCTATTCAAATAACTTGCCTATTATGCAAGGCAGATGGTCTGGACTGATAGCAATTTGCTACGGGTATATTAGCCTAATAAGCTACAGAAATATGTAGGAAATGACATCTCAAAATAGTCCGTCAACGTATTTATTTAGGGGTCGCTTGGATGTTTCAAAGCCTACTGATTAATTGGATCGGGAGGCCAAGTACACTGTCTGTTGCAATACATCAAGAGAAATGAGTGGAAGATGATTTCTTCATTTCACTAAGAAGAGAGATTTTGGTTTCCATTTTGACAGTTGCCACTGAGGCATCGTGCACACCAACACATTATTTTGTGTCTCCCCACAAAAAAGGTTTTAGATCATTCCCATATATCATATGCAGCATCTCTGGCTGGAGCAGAAAATTAAACTTCCCTGTAAAGCAGACTCTGCCGTTTTAACAGTATATATTTATACGTCAGTATGTAACCGTCAATACTTACGGTTAGAGTAATCTCATAATAACACTTCAAAGGGACTTGGAGACAAACGCTTCCAGCGGTCACCTCATTCTGGATGGTTAAGCTCATTTTCATGAATGTCCACGTGCACAGTTTCCCTACTGTTTGTATACAACAAAAGGAGATCACTGTAACAAAGGAGGAAATAGTGGGGAATTTTTCTATACCTGCATTCACTTTTTGAAAGCACAACCTGTACCTTTTAATGCACGAAAACTGAGTTAACAAATCTAATAGATAGAAACAGCTATATGCAAATAGCTAGGCATTTATTCTGTATGCAGTGCTGTCTGACATTGCTTTCTAATTACAAATAAAAATGTTTTGGTTTGCTGTTACAGGTCCCAACAAGCATCAGAGTGCGGTGACCTGTTTACAGTTCAACAAGAACTTTGTAATTACCAGCTCAGATGATGGGACTGTAAAACTTTGGGACTTGAAAACGGGTGAATTTATCCGAAATCTAGTCACATTGGAGAGCGGGGGAAGTGGAGGCGTCGTGTGGCGGATCAGAGCTTCTAACACAAAGCTAGTGTGTGCGGTTGGGAGCCGTAATGGGACTGAGGAAACAAAGCTGCTGGTGTTGGACTTTGACGTGGATATGAAGTGAAGGGCAGAAAGATGAATTTGTCCAAACATGTAGACGATGTTCTCCTTTCCCTCCCCCTGAAAAAAAAAGAAAAAAGAAAAAAAAGAAAAAGGAAAAAAAATCCCTTGTCCTTGGTGGTGCAGGATGTTGGCTTGGGGCAACAGATCCTAAAGACCTACAGACTACGAAGGAGAAGACAAAGATGACAAACTGTAACTGACAAGAGAGGCATTTCCTGTCTCGTCACATAAAAAGGCAACGCTTTTGACCGGGGCAGCTTTGCAAAAATACGACTTTTGAAATGAAACCAGGTGCAATTATTTCTTTACTTTCCTCCAACTGCTCCTTGAGCAATTTGGAGGTGAAAAAAAAATTGTTACAGTTCTTGTTAACAGGTTATTTTACCACAAAGATCTTCAAAGAAGCTGCACAGCCGAGCCTGCTCGTGCACCCCTGGGCCACCCTGGGTTCCGGCAGCCCCTCCGAGCAACGCGCTGTCCCTTAGCCCCGCTCTGAGCCGGGGGTTGGACCGGACAACCTCCAGAGGTCCCTTCCAACCTCTGCGAGCAGTCACTGGTTGACTTTCAAAAACTAGAGAGCATCTGCAATGAAAAAAACAAAAACAAAGAGTCCATTCCTGGTGTGGAAAAGCTAAAATATTACTGTGAATTGTTTTGTACAGTTTTATCAGAGCTTTTTCTTTTTTTTCTTTTATTCCTCTTTTTTTTGCCAACCGTTGCCAATGTCAATCACAGTATTAGCCTCTGTTTTATCTATTTACTGTTGCTTCCATCTACACTCTTCAACGCATAAGTTGCTCTGAGGTGGCAAGTTGTCCTGGGTTTTGAGAGTCCTCTGATGGATTTAATTCGCAATGCTGGTGCTAGAAGTAGGTCTTCAATTACGGGATTGTTGTCCCACCCCTGTACTGTATTCCCAGTGGCCAAACTTATTTATGCTGCTAAATGAAAGAAAGAAAAGCAAATTATTTTTTTTTATTTTTTTTTCTGCTGTGACGTTTTAGTCCCAGACTGAATTCCAAATTTGCTCTAGTTTGGTTACAGAAAAAGACTTTTTGCCACTGAAACTTGAGCCAACTGTGCCTCTAAGAGGCTGAGAGTGGAAGAGTTTCAGACAATTAAAGAGTGAAGTTTGCCTGCAAATAAAGAATTGAGTGTGTGTGCAAAGCTTATTTTCTTTTTTCTGGGCAAAAATTAAAACACATTCCTTAGAACAAAGCTATTGCAGCCTGTTCTGTGGGGAAATTTTTCTTTGTGAGGGCTGTGGTGAATGGAATGAACATACATAAAAAGAAACTGACAAAATTTTTAAAAAATACTATAAAATACAAAAATGAAAATAAAGTTGCTGGTCAGTCTTAGTGTTTTACAGTATTTGAGAAAAAAAAACAACTGTTACAGTTATTGCTGGGAGGAACTGACAGAGCAAAAACTTACGTTTTTGTAAAGATGTCACATGCAAACAAAATGAGAAATGGGAGAGTCAAATGGTTTGCCTCATTCTCCAAGAGCCACAACTCAAGCTGAACTGTGAAAGTGGTTTAACACTGTATCCTAGGCGATCTTTTTTCCTCCTTTTTTTTTTGTTTTATTTATAGTCTGATTTAAAACAATCAGATTCCAGTTGGTTAATTTTAGTTATGTAACAACCTGACATGATGGAGGAAAACAACCTTTAAAGGGATTGTGTCTATGGTTTGATTCACTTAGAAATTTTATTTTCTTATAACTTAAGTGCAATAAAATGTGTTTTTTCATGTTAGTATGTCTTTTTTTTTCTTTTCTATTTCTTGTTGTTAATTTAATATCATATATCCTATGAAGCACAAAGCAGGTCAAGCTGCTCAGCTTACTGGTAGATGCTAAAATATGTCGCAGGACTTTATGTAACCCTTCCACAAACAGGTGCACCAGCGTCCTCTCCTTTGGTTGCCGTATAGGATTTGTCATGTGGGCGTCAGCAAACATGCGGGAAAGCCATTAGCTTCCTGTCGCTAGGAGCGTATCAGGATTTGACTCTGGAGGGAGTTAGCTATAAAAAGCTGCTCAAGTGCGTAAAACTTCTTCCGATAGCATCTTGGTACTACACCTTAAATTGAAACTTGATGTTTATTATTTATGGATTTCAATCAATTGATTGCAGTCTGACAGCAGAGAATAAATCCATAAATACAACTAAAATCAAAGCTAGGATTATAGGAGAGCTGGAAATAAAGCTGAAGAAGAAGAAGAAAAAAACCCCACATCAGTCCAACTGTAGTTTTATCAGTGCCCTGAAACCAAGGAAAGTCATCGGCTGTCTCAGAAACTTACCACTTGAGTGACAGTTTCTCTCTCAAATCTCCTTGACCAAAATCATTGTTTTCTTCTGTGTAAGACTCTTCTGTCAGGGCACAGCATTTACTTCGTTGTGACAATTCTCCCGGTAGAAAACTGTCATTAAAGAAAACCAAACCAACACATGAGAAAATACATGTCTGGAAAAGAAAAATATTTATATACTTACACATCTCTGACTATGTGCTATTCAAATGTAGTTCCAATCCCTACATTATGCAAAACAAGCAATGCTGAAGGATCACGCTTCCATCTGGCCTCTAGAGATTAAAAAGCCATACAAAATGATTGAGCAGCTACAAATTGTAAAAATCTGTTCATTGAGTTGCTGTTTAAGGGAAAAAAATTGCAGCAAGCACCAACATATAAAAGCTAAGATCATCTTGGTATTTATGTAAAAACAATTCAAGAGCTAATCCCTTTCCTAAAATGACAGTGAAAGATTGCCAGGACTTCATGTTGTTCCGCTGAGAACGCTGGCCAGGACTCCCAGACCCCGATGACAGAAGGTACCGTCAGTCTGGGCCGAATGGCTTGTGAGAGGGGATGGAAATAGAAGGGTACAAATATGAATATTTAATGCAGGGAGCAGAGCAATAGCTTTTAAGATTATGTAATTTTCTTCCATGATTTGTAGAAATTGCAAAAACATGTTTTCAGAGAGCAAAGGTGCTGGCCTGACGGTGCAGGAGAATGAGAGATTTCTGAGTAACATTGTGCTGGAGGGCAGGAATACAGATCAGGGGCAGAAGAATGAAATGACAGAAGAGGAAAACTTAACAAATCCGAACCAGCTCAAGCTGTGTTTAAGTACACTTTAAGCACCCAATATGACCAGGAGCAAAATGTGCTTAACCAGAATTGAGAAGTTTTCTGGTTGGTAGTGTAGTTCCAACAACATTCAAATTAATGCAGAATTAACTTGAACCTGTTAAGCAAACCACATTTATAGCTTCCTTAATCCCAGATTTAGGTTAAAAAAAAAGTAATTATTGGCTGCAAAGTCAAGGTATGATAGACTGTCATATTGAATACAAAAACCAACACAGTACTTTAAAATTACTTTTTTAAAAGGCTTTTCCCCTTCAATAAAACAACAAAGTTAATTTTCTTAGTCCCCTAAGTTTGTAGGAGTTGTTGCTTATGAGACATCTGAACAACATAGCTCAGTAAGCAGAAATTTGTTACTTTTATTTAAGTGACAGCATTTAAAAAACGGGCCTGTAGTAAACACATCGGGTAAGAAACTGTTCAGTTAGTTTTTCTTTACAGTCTCCTTATTACCCCTTTTAAGTTGACGCACTCACCGTAACATAGTTCACTTAGTATGAAGCCTTCAGCTTGGCAGCACATCCTCCAACTGAGACTGTTTAGGAACCATCTTCATTTCTTGTAATTAGATTTTAATTTTAAGGTGGGTGGAGTGGGGGTTTTTTTAAATAAAAACATTTAAGAACACTGGTATAAGACTACAACTGCTTTATGCTCTCAATACGCAGGCACTGCTTGAATCTAGTGGCTTAGTCATCGCAGGCTATGTCAAAATATCTACAGCTGTCTTGGAGAGGTGATTGCACTAGTGTTTCTGGCATCCTACCCTCTTGTTTTAATGCTGATTCTCGTTTTTGTTTTAGCCCCAGAAGGAGCTTCCTCATTCTCTCCTGTATCTGAAGCCAAGTCAACAACATTAAAAGATTTTTTTTACTAGATATTCTTAGTGAACCTTGATTTTAGCTTGATTTAGTAAGTCAGAATTAGTATTGCCACTTCTGCCAAGAGCCTGTTCCTACCGTGTCCATTTACTTATTCAAGAGACAAGACATTCAACAGCTGCGTCTACACCAATTTGTAGTCCAGATTAGCAGCTCTCCCAACAGCGCACAGTGCTGCCTCAGAGCCCACAAATGGGATTCCTTTGGGGTGTAACTAAATCCAGAGCAGCTCTCCCAGGAGCACAGCCCAGGCACTCGAGCTGTTAGTGGAGCATGTGAGACCAAACCAGACCTAGTCCAACACCTCAAAAATACATTCATGTGGACATTAGGTCCTCAGGACCAGAAAATCGGTGCTACAGCTCTGCTCCTACTGCACAGCACTAATTGCTAGCGCGGGCGCAACCTTCAGCAAACCCTTTCCCACAGCACCCCTGGCTCCCGATTCGTAATTGGCAACCAGCTCCCATCCAAACGGCAGCAGCAGAAAAACAGAATCTGTCCGACACCGCTACAGACCTTTTACCAGAGAAAAAAGTTCAGATGCCTTCAGCACTCCTCCTTCAGCATGCTTAATGGCGAGGTTCTCCTGATCCGCTTATGGAATCCAGTTTAAAAGAAATACAGACCTCTCACTATCAGTCTGGACAAAGTTTTCTACCAACAAGTCGATACATGAATCATTCAGAAAAAGAACGCATGGAATTCTGTAATTAGATAGGCAAAAGAACCCGATTATAACAATAAAAAAGAAAAACCTGCCAGTAATTACTTGAGTCACTCTGACCAAACAACTGTTAATTACTTAAAGGGCAATACCCAAGCATACTGACCACTGAATCTTCAGTTGAAGTGGGAATATTATTTTCTTTCCATCTCCTGCCATTTTGTCTATAACAATGATCCCTGACATTGCGCAAAGACACAAGTACTGTGTGATGATGTTTAGTATTTTATGATATATGATGTTTATGATTATACATGAAGTATATGATCGGTATGATAGACGCCAGGTTTTTCAAACTTCATCTAAAAATGGCATATACAATTTTTCAAACAGCTCTTCAAGCACCAGTGCAGGTTTACAAATACAACAGATGTTTTAATGTAAAAGCTGTTGCAGATCCCTTCCGAGATAGATAGTCTGACAAACTAGGTGACACCAAAATGTCGGCAGCCAGCACAGGCTCTTGGTCCTCGTTCAGATTGCCACATGGCCCAGCAGCTGTAGCGGTACTTCAGAGAAAAGAAATGGTGCATTGTGCTACCAGAGTACCCACTGCCGAGGGGAA